AATCTTTATTTAAATTCCAGCTTTCTGTTTCGAGAATTTTGAACTAATTTACGAATTACCTTTAGACGAAGACCTTTAGACAATAAATAAAAGAATAAAATTACTCTATTGCTCTTTATTCAAAGTAATTTCGACATGCTTCCATAAAAGTTATCGATTCAAACTGCATTACACGATGACATTTAAGTGCCTATTTTAGGCCACTGGGTTGCTGCTAATTCATATTTTAATGAATATTGTATATTAATGCTTAATGAACAGCAGGAGTTGAGAAAACATAATGGAATATATTAAATTTTCGCAATATTAATTATCCAACTCTGTTTTGATTTTAAAACGATTATAGTTGGTATATAATAGTTGTTGTTATGCTATTGACTTTCCAGCTTGTTATAATAGAGAGAAGTATTAATGAGTAACTAGGCAGCAAAATTAGTAGCTGAATATCGAATTTCTTTCGACATATGTATAATTGTACGAGTATACTAAGTAGAGTACCTACATATTATAATTTCCCTAACGAATAAATTCCCTGCAGGATAATTTTACATTAATAATTCAATACTTCGAAACCTCTAAACTTACATACAAGCAGGTGGATCTTTATAATATATATTTTGTAATTTTAATTAATCGATTTTCGAGCATAATTTATGTAAATTTTTATTGTTCCGTTATTTATAATCAAATCGGCGGCATTGAAAAATTGGCAGGTGTCCATTTTATATCAGCCGAGCATTAATTTTGAATGAATGAAAATAACTAAATTGAAGTTGAATCATAGCGAAGAGTCTGTATTGAGCTGTTGGAAATATTCCACACCGGCTGAAATTTTCTCAATAAATTTGATTGAATTAATATATCTGTCGAGGATCGAAAAATGAGTTTTATAACCCCTTTATAGAAACATTAAAAATATTGGGGTGTTAGGTTATCGGTTTCTAATAGAAACTTCTAAGAAAATAAAGTAAAAAACGGAAATCGTGTATCACTATAGGTTATCGTTTTACACACTTCTTTAATGAGAATATAAATTTTTGTACGAGTTCAATCAAACCGCTTGTAATGTTTAATTTAATCGCATCGAATAATCCTTAATTCGGCAAACTACAAATACATTTAACACAATTATTTACTTCATTATTAATAATTATAGTTTTTTTTTCACGATTTTGATTTTATTACCCACACGAACTTGATGAGTTTTATCTCAAATTCGTTTCGTACTTACACTAAAACACAGTAAAACTTAGCCCGCCGATTTTTATCTTTAACGCAAAAATCCTTGACCTTTTTCCACCAGAGCTTTTCCTACATAAAATTACAGTCAATTAACGTAATCTGATGTAATGATTTGCGAATTGAAATCGCTACTAAAAAACTAAATATTAATTAAGGAAATGTTTGTTTTAGTATACGCAAGGACGATCCGTCGTTTATCTCGGACGGATGATTAGGAGTATATACGTTTTTTTTCACGTTTGTGGAACGAACGCGTGAAATTTTTATTGACAGCCGTGTCTGATGCGAAATTGGTAATTTTCTCGTTACCTTCAATGCCGATTAATAATCCTTTAATCAACTTAATTGGATAGTTCTTTCGTGCAATTCCAGATCGTACATTTATACAATTTTATTAGAATATTTGGCAGGGTATTAAAGCAAATTTCGCAAGTGGGAAATTCATGAGCGATAATTTTACGAATGGAAATTTCTCCTTAGTTTATTACAAAGTTTCCAAAAACTGTTGCCATTAATTAAATTTGAATGTTTTATTTTTGTACTGTTGATTACAAATGCTGAATACAAATCGTTAATTTATTTTTTTAAATAGGAAAAATTGTTTTAAACGTTATAATTAGTTTACAATTTTTTTAGTTATTCATTTAAATGCTAGTTAATTCGGTGTATAAATCCCCTTCAGGAGTTATATAAACATGTAAATTTATTTGCTTTCGTATGAAACTGGAGTATATTACAGCACTGTTTAATTACCTCTATAATACAATAAAAAAGTGTTCTTTACGTCCTAAAATATTAATTTACACTCAGTCTGGAGATATCAGACGAAATTTTCCAGGCCTGTTACGGCAAACTTTTATGATTTTCAAACAAAACGCTATACATACACCAGTTTTCAGTAGTGTGTTTGTAATTTTTCGCAAATTACAACGACCTTATTTAGAATTTGCCGAAAACAAATAACTGCCTTATATCCGTAATTTGGTTTATTAATGACGCAAATAATCGTTTACCTAATTCGTTTGGATTAAAATAGGAGAGAATTATCTAAGTTGATAGTAATATGAATATCATGTACTGAATTAATTTTACCTGTAGTTTCAGAATAATAGTAATAACTAGGTATTATTTACAATTATTACTGCACGAGCGCATAGTAGGTATATTGTTGACTTGACCAATGAATTTGATTCGAGCGTTAAAAAATAATCACACAAATTTTGTTGAATTTCAGCGGACATCTACCCTTTATATTTACAATAATAAAAAATCCTACAGAGATTCGAAACGAAAATAACTTTGTTGGCAACCGATCTGTTATAGGAAAGAATATCACAAGCTTCTAATACGAAGTGAACAAAAAACTTTAACATCATAAAACTTGAATTATTATATTACAATACATTATAGTACCTACCTAATTAAATATTGCTTGCAGGTATTAATAAAAATATATATTATAATAGAGTTGTTCTTGCTACACTGTATCGTTTAGTTTACTCTTTACATTATTTTTTCATTGAGAAACGATTGCTCCATTGTGTAAATTTCGTTTCGTTGCCAACGCATTTCGACACATGCACAAAAATTTCCCACGAGTTAGCTCCAACTCCAGCGCTCTCGGTGTGTTTGGCTTTACAATTTTAGCGTTTACGGCGGCACGAACGCCGCCAAAACGCATATATAATTCAAAATTCGGATTTTTTTCGCATTGTTCCCGTATAATTTTTAGTTACTTAGGTACTTACAGGATGATTTACGGCGCACTCAGCAATTCGGATTGGCAGCGTTCGGGCGTCGATACTAATTCGTGTGCAGCAGGCGAAGCCAGACGAGGATGCTCCATACGTGCGGCGTAAAAATACTTGTAATATTCCGGCACCTATCGGAAAAATGATCGCGTTGAAATTGTATTGAAGGTCATTACCAATACCGGCGGGTGAACGAACGGAGTCGGTACCGTACGTTATATAGAATTAGAAATTAGATAAGATAATGTGGTACCGGGAAGGAGTTACCGAACACCTTGAGGTGCAACCCAATATAGGTATCCAGCTTATCGCGCGGACTCCGAGCCGAACGATCTCTTCGAGCAGCCGACAATTTGCTAAATTTGTACTTGCCTTGTACTTCTTTTAATGACTTTTAGATATGGAATGTTTAGGAATCTCGGTATTACTTTCGCAATTTAGCGTTGGAATTAAAATTACCCTTATCGTTTACCTGATGACACTTTATCATTTAGATATATGTAACTCGAGTATTGAACTTTATCTCAATATACTGATGAAGATAAATGAAATTTAAAGTTTTTTTTTAGTAGTTTGGATGGCTTTTTTGAGGGATATTGGAGACTAAAAACTTAATTTTTGTTGTGTAATTTTTAACGTTTGTTACAGGTCCATAGTGTTGTTCACGCAGCGTCATGTCCTGTTGATTAGGCGGCCGCTTCTCAAAAATGGTATCAAAGCATCTAATGAAGAGTAGTTGTTATTGTTGCTATTGGAAATTCAGAATTGCTGAGTTTCGGTGAATGTTCTAAAAGAGAGCGATAAGATTTTGAACGTAAGTACATTAATGAATGCAATGTAATTAATAACACTAAAAAATAAGTTCTTATGTGCATTTTCTAAAAAAGCTAATTTTCATAATTAAAATGAAAATTGCGACTTTATAAATATTAAAGTCGAGTTTTAGCAATTTATATTAGACACGTAACATGACAATGGATCGTTACATACGAATTCAACACACCCTGTACGTTGTAAATAAAATTTATTAGTGTATGGAAATAATTATAAAACATAGTTTCGTACTATAAACCACCAACGCGTGCAAAATCCATAAAATACTCATAAATCGACCGATATATCTCAGCCGTTCAATTACCAACAAAATAAAATACAATAAAAATGAACCTTGTTTCAACACTTGTTTTCTTCATATTTCTCTATCAACTGTTGCTTTCTTCGTTCGGTTATTACAGTTTATTTTACTGATTGCTTACATGCTTATATCAGTTTACAAAACTTCATATTTAAATCCTAAAAATATTAAGATTACATTACATAGCTTTTGTTTAAAATAAACGCTCGATTTTTAGTATAAAAATTAATTTATCAATCGGATGGGTTACTAAAACGTAAACGAAATCTATCCCAAGGCCTCTAATTTGTTTCGAAATTCGTAAACTGTACACGATTAATATTCGTCGCGTAAACAAGCGCTTATTTTACATTCGATTTAACGAAGACGAAAAATTTCGTTCACTTTCCTCGCGAAACGAGAAAAATAATAACGAGTTTTCGAAAACTATCCATTCGCATCTACATACATTCCGACTCGAATTGCTCGCATGAATCGCGCGATAAAATTACGCTCGTACTGTTTTATGAGTATTTCAAACGATAAAAATATTGTAAAAGTAACTGTAATTTGGTTACGTAAATAGCATAATATTCACGACCAATTTTTTATGTTGCGCGAACACGATTCATAAAAAATACCCACCCCTTACTCAAACTTTGAACAATAACATTTCCTATTATGAGAGCATGTTATAAAGTCATTTACAACTTAAGAAATTACACTCACGTCTTAATGTTAATAATAATTAACTTTAAACAGCCTCTATAAAGAAATATTTATATTGATAACATTTACAATACGTCTTGTAGCAGCTACCATTATATCCTCCTTGCACAATACATCATACAGCGTTTTAATTTGTTTTGTAGTTGCCTACGAGAATTCCTGCAATGACGAACAAATTTCCTGCGAAGCAGGTACTGGCCGGTTGCGCTATATTAGCGCTGGGAGCTATGATAATCTTCGTTTGGGTGGCATTCGGACAGGGAGCGTTCAAAACCAGGCGACAACACAATTCCTTTAACGTTACAATGGCGACGCCGACGCCGGTGCGAAATGACGCCGTTTCGAATACCACCAAACACAAAGGTAAGTGTTGAGATAATCAAGTATTGGTTCATTTTTGGTTCAACCGCTGGTGGAATTGTTCGATTCGTTTCGTAAGCGGTGGACAAATTGGATGCGTTTCAATCGGTTTATTTATTTGTATTGATTGCTTGTTCGTTTGGCAGACGGGGATGTTTAACAAAACGGTCGTTTACCCTCGAAAATCGATGTAATAGCTAATAAACAACATATGCGTTCTCATTAAATAAAGCCTAAATAATCGAATAAAAATAGAATAAATATAGGAAGTCAATTAACAGTGCTGTTACATTAAAGAAATTAAATTGCTAATGGTATTTTATGATTTTTTGAATTTTGTGAAACATCAAAAGTCATTGAGTTAATTATAAACACAGTCTTTTTTGATGGATTTATTCGTACATATCAATTTCAACGGTATTATAAATAAATTCAGTATCAATATCCATGTTGAACTCATAATAATATTGTAGAGCTTTGATCGATTTGATATTTTACGACTCTCCTTGTCCTCCTTCTCAAATTTTTTCACACTGTAAAAGAGAACTTTAACAATACTACATCTATGAAAGTTTATGTTCATCCTATCTAATTATAATTCGCAAAATGTAAGAATTTTCACACACAACGTACAGCTATAAATAGACAATTTACTGTACTGAGTAAGTTCCGAATTTACATTTAACAAAAATCTAAACTGTAAAAAAAGTTATAAAAAAACCCGACACATTGTTTTCTACGACGTCCTCGGCGTATTTTTATCTCCATCCATTACTTAAATTCGCCGGGTTTTAAGTGGCTTTCAAAGTAACTACCGTGCATTCATAACTGCGCGAATAACAACAGTATCCATTAATCAACATGACGCTGTTGTAAACTTTACGTGTATTTGCGATAAAGAAAAATTGTAATATCGTCCTTATAGCGCTTCGCCGAGCAGAAAAATCGTTTCATTGACTACGATTACAGTTATTTTATAAACTTTTTACCGAACTTGATAGAGCAATATCGGAGAACTTCTAAGAATTTGGTAGAAGTACCGACTCATTGTAAGCGTACACCTACACTTTTAATCTCATAATCTCGTTCTACAAGACGAGAATACGTTATGGAGCCATAAAAACCTCCTGCCCCGTTTATATTTCCTATACCCAAGACATTAACATTGAAATTTAGAGGCAAAAAACCGGTGAGTCAATATTTCTTGACCTACGTCAACAATCCAGATTTTCAGGAATAGGGTTAACAAACTGCACAACTATCGCATTACCGCCGTTAAAACAACGATCAAATATCATTTCGCGAGAAAGCTTGATTAGCATTTAGCCACAACAACGATTGACCTGCCGCAGACGTACATAAAGTTTGCTCAAGTTAAGTTAGTACTAACGTCACAAATGAAAAAACCGCGGCGTTGTCATACCTTAGCTTAGATCACTTACTTTGAGGATTTTTGAGATCTTGTGTAGTAAAAAAAGTTGAAATTTAATATAAGAAATAAGGAGATTGTTAGCTATTAAAAGACCACACGTACGAGAAGGCTATAACGCAGCAGCTCCTTAATCTTTTCGGTTACTTTCAACGGTCATTTTTCGTTATCGTTCCTCGCCATCGTTCGATTTATCATCTGTCGAAGAGCTAATGAAAAAATCCACCTTCGCGACCGAAGGTGGCGATTTCGAGCTGCAATCGTACGAGTGGGCGTTTTCGCGCGCCCGATTGCATTATATGCAGTCGAAGCGCTATCACCCCCACGCGCTCGATCGTAAGTCATTAGTTCAATTGGGTATCGGTTGTTAATTTCGATTTTATGACGCGTTTATTTCAGCCGATTCGGTTTCTACTTGCACCTATTTCGATTTATTTAAATTATCTATTATGCAACTTTCGTTTGTTCGTTGATATGCTGTCCTCATCGGAGCCGATTAAAATGTAAACGATTCCACCCATTAAACATTTCAACGATTTTATGATTAATTAACTGAAACGCCGGATTAAGTGAAATAAAAAAAATATTGAACAATCTATTTTGCATATAATCTCGTTTAGCCATTCGTCATAACGTCATCTTCGCATTTGCGGGGACGGATAAAACGGCAATGATTTAAATTACACAACTATTTACTACGAATATATCCATAGTAGATATATTATACGTTACGTATTTACATTAACGTGCCTTAAGAGAGTTGTAAGTTGTAAAGATATAGAAGCTGCATCCGTTAAAACCCACACGTATCTTGTATAGATGTCCGTGTCTTTGCTCGTAATTTCAAATTTACCTTAATGTTACAACAAATCTGGTATTGCATTTTACACACTCCACGTATTTTTAAAATAAATTTACAACGAAGCGAATACAAGTTTTTCTGGTACCAAGTATGAGGTGTATTAGCATATGTATCGGAAAATCCAAAGTTTCTTGAAATTCCCTGCTGACAAATTCCGTATATTCATTTTCCAGACAATCTAACAAATGTTCATGATTTCTGGGAACGACGAATTTTCTAGTAAAACTCTAATTACTCCTAAAATTTCTTCTAACATGTTGTTTCACGCTTTTGAATCACACTTCTACTAACTAATATTTTATTTCGCGTCTTATGGGCAATTGAACTGACAGGTGACGATTTAATAAACGATGAAGATTAGTCGAGCGGGATTTCTCGCAAGTATTGCTCATTGCCGCTTATTAAAATATATTAAATCGAACGAATTAAGCACGTGGCTCTGCAATTGATTTAATATTTAGGTCGGTAATTTCCACTACTCATTTCCTACTTTTTTAACGATTTTTTACGATTTCGTTACTTTGCTCTAACCATCTTTTGCTCTATCCGCGCCAGTTTAATATCCGGAATAAACTCTTGCCATTAGCATAATAATGTAATAAACGAGGTCTTGCGGTGTTTTTGATCTATCTTGACGGGCCTATATGAATTGTGCGCTGGTCGCGAAAGGTCGTTCGATTTGACACTGTATGGCATCAGACTTTAACGAGCCGGCCAATCAATTTGTTGTCCAATTAGTTCGATCGGGTAATTTGGAAGGCGCTTTTCACCAATCGCTACAAGTGCGTTACACTTTGACAATGAAATTGTTTACTGTACGTTTTCTTTAATGCTATTATCGATTCTATTGATTGGTTTGATAGACTATTAATAATAATCTAATAACAATTGTAGTAGAGGGCAGTATGTGGATATATTTATGTTTCTTTCTATACATTTACTATTCCGACTTTCTAGTTGTTTAATAAAGCTAGCCATATCATTTCTGTTTACGGTTTAAGTCGTAAATATCGTAATTTTATAGTGGGAAATAAACTACAAATTGATAATTCGCCATTTAGCCGAGGCTTATTAGCGTGATAATGATGATTATGGTTATACGCGACAAAATAGATAGAACAGTTATAATGCATGAATTGATTTACGCCTAGGAGTATCTACCGAGGTGGAAAATTAGTAATGATTTTAATGGCCGTACGAAATTGGTGAAGTATTAGTTCTCGAATTTATAAAGTGAATATTTTTTTGTCTTTGATTTCCTCTTCCACCCACTCGACGAACGTAATAGACATTATTTCACCGGGCTATATCTGGATATGCCTGAAGATGCAATCAAAACCTACGTTAATTGTTAATTCCATCGTTAAATGTTTTACTTCTTGGGAGAAAAAGAATACCGAATTAGAAAGTTCGTTCTCGTAATTCGTTCTTTAATTAATGGGCTAGTCGGTTACGTTAAAATCGTAAAAATAGGCATATAGGAGGTGTTTATTACATACTAAATTTCTCTATGGTATAAATTATGGCTTTAAATTCTATCTATTGATTCATCTTCCTTTTAGTTACTTATTCCTAAGCTATCGAACGGAACTTAATCTGTACATTTTTATAATGTAGCTAATTCCTGCTTTCATTAGCAATATTGTATGTTATAATCTTGTGGGATTTCCTGGTGGATTAATAGCGTTTGCGAAGCTTCTGATCTTTGTTTGTAGTGGGAAAATCCATTAACGATTCGAGCTTTGGCCGATGACAAAATTCTGGCGAATTTATGGGCGCTTAAATAACGGTTAGCTGGAAACTTCCTGGTCAAAAATAAACCGTTCATAAAAATAGACGTGTTGCAAAAAAGCGGTATAGAAAGTAAAATCGTTCTTTCAACTTTGCCATTATTGAATATTCCGGTCGGGAAGCGTACATATAATTATAAATAGCGAATATCGAAATGTTGTGGGACATAATCCCGCCAAAACGCGGACTTTTGAGTCACGCTTGGCGTTAAAAATACATATTCATTAGCGGATTTTACAACTACCATTTCGTAGGTAGACGTATGAAGGTGCAACTTCCGTAAGTATACATAAATATTAGTCGAGTAGACTTTTGAGACGGGTGTCGCTAATGAATAATTTACGCAAAAATATGTTAATTTAGTAGATAAAACTAATCTATTCGTTGCTTTTTTGTAATAAAATCATACGCATATTCCCCTGTAAACTATTTTTAAATCCTCCTGCAAGACCCGCAGATAAAAATACATTAATTGATCGGCTTATTTCGATTTGGAAACTCCAAACAAATTAATTTTCATTCGACCGACCTAAAATTATTGCACTAAGCCAGATTAAATTTAACTACAATTTAATCTACAACTAAAAACCAAAGCATTTTCTAATGGGCGAAATAAAAACATAGCGAAACAATTTAACGATTTGCCCTCAATATCGCGTCGGTGATGTCATTTTAGTTATTAAAGTGCGAAATCTTATTCGTCCGTCGGATACATTGTGTGTGTGTTTCAAATATTCTCCGCTAAAAATAAGAGGTGACATAACTACGACTCAGAGGTTTTTGCTCCTGTATGATAGAAATTAATTTGAAGGCTGGAGCTTCCGCGTGCGTTATATAGCCGTTTTTTACCGCCAAAACTAGTTGAATTACACCTGCTAAGGGCCCTATGTTAGCCTCTATTTGTCTGCACTATGAGGATAT